CAGTAGAACAGCTTTAACTCCGCGGCCCAAACTCTGTGGTGTGTGGGTCTCTCCAGATTCTCCGGCCACCCTCGTGTCTCTCCTCCCTGTCTGTCAAAAATGCCAAAAAAAAACAAATACATGCGGTGGTAACTCCAAATATAAAACTATTAGAACCATGCACACACACACATCAAAACCAATTTATACCAACATGTAAAATACATAACTACGGATATAACCCACACAGAGTAATCAATTAAAACATGCACATATTGGGAGCAAATTAATAAAAACATAGAATGTCCCACTTTGACACATACATGGACACACATGCTTCTTTAACAGCTACTGGAAAATCTTATACAAAAATAGAGAAGAACAGTGATCCGAGCAAGGAACCCTGGGAATCCCACATTCTCTGATTAGTCTGCTGTTGGATCAGTAAATGTAGCACGGGCCTCATCAGGTGAAGGAATTTCCGTAGCCTCGTTCCAGGGAAGAAAAAGATCTCCTGGAAGTAGCTGTGGGAAATGCACAGCCAGTTTCACCATCAAGGCTGCCTATGATGTCTTGCCATCTCCCAAGAATCTCAGCCAGTGGTACGGAGAATAGCTCACCTGCTCCCTCTGCCCTACACCAGCAACACTAAAGGCAGATACACCTGGCAGGACAACTATGTGCTACGGTGTCTTGCAGCTGTCCTGAGAAGTCGGCGGATGAAAAGAAACACCCTTCCTCCCCCTTTATCCTGATGTCTGACAGCTTAATTTCCCCCAGAAGGTGAGGGTCACGCCAGACTCATCACATCAAGGTGTAATGAGGATGCAGAGATTGTGTCAAACGACCTCAGTACAGACCTTGTCCTATGGTCGGCCTCTCTCCATCCCGTTTACACCATCGAGTTTATAGTGCCCTGGGAGGATGTTTTAATTAACATTCAAATGACAGATAGAACCAGTTAGATTAGAACACAGTCATGGGACCATAATCAGAACCAGCTAGAACAGCCTGGGACTCAGAACACAGGACTAGACCCACCTGGATTAGAACATCAGCCTCATACTCTATAACAAGACCTACTCTACATTCCAGCCCTGAAGGTTACAGGGAAAGGTGAAGAGTTGTTCTCTCCGTGTGGTTCCTCCAGGCCTATTTAGATGGCGACGTGCTAGGAAGCTGCCAAACCACTCTTCTCCTAAAGAGTAGAGAATTCATTATTATAAGATTTAGCTTTGTGGCAAGATCAGTTGGCCTAAGTTAACCTACAGAATCATGTGATCTCTTGCACACCCTAGCCTACCTGCACATTGTTTCTCTGTCCAATGGGCAGGGACAGGGATATAGTTTTTCTCTGCGTATTCAAATGCCAGTTCACGGCACTTAACTGGAGCAAGGCCATGGAACTGGTCAGCTAGTTGTTTCAAGTGTTTGGCAAGCTCCTCCTCCATCTCATCTGTGAATATTCTCTTTGCCTCAGCTACTGCACCCCAGGCTACTGATTTTACTTCCCCTTTCTCTTTTTTCTTTATGAATCTTTTGAGGGTTGTCTTGTCAATATTTCTATCCCTTCCAGCTTTTCTTAAGGACTTCTTTCCTTGCATGACCTCAGCGGCTGCACTCTCCATCTCTGCGAGGGGTGTTTGGCCCCAGGTTGTCTTCCTGGTGTAGTTTCTTGGCATGATGGCTTTTCTACAATGTTTATTACATTAAAAATAAAACATATGTAATGTAATATTACACTAAAATATGTTTAAGACTAAACTTAACTTAGCATTTGTCTCACTTTACCACACAGCTACTATTTTAGAAAAAACAACATCTCTTAGCAATTCACACTAATCTTCAGCTAGCATCAATCACATGGTTTTATATGTTGGAAGTTCATCAACATGTATGATATAAGTTTTTCTACCTGAATCAATTTGCTTTGACACAACAGTTGATTAAGTTCACAGCAAGAAAATTTACTTTTACATGCAAAAAACACATTTTTGTGAAAAAACATACTTACCACAGCACCAGCACCAACTTCTCCTTCATGGCAAGGGGGGAATGGGAGGGGCTTGAAAACATAATGGTCACATGACCACAAATGTGTTCCTTTGCCTAGATACAGGGGGTGTCTCACATTACCCGGTGTCTCACATTACCCCGCTCTCCCCTACTGAGAATAAGAACAAAGGCACACAATGACACAGAGGAAGGAATAACAATGAGTGCCGCAGTGTTGTGTGATTCTAGAGGAGCACTGGGGTTGTGTGCGTGTGCGGGTTTGGGATTATTATCAGAGCACGAGGAGCATGTACTGTATATATCATTTCACTAATTACTGTTCCACGCTCTAATTACAATGCAGCAGGGACACATTCAACTCTTAGATCCTTGCTCGTGTAAAATCTCCATACGGCTTCCGTTGTCAATCATACAATCACAGACACAATCCCAGAAAACCCAGAAAGAAAAGCTTGTTTCTTCTTCCCCCAGTCTTTCTTTTGGATATCAGATCTGCTCCCCATGTTCTCCGTACAGCTGTCACTCCTCTCTTTCTTCATCTTTTGTCAGCTTTGCCTCGACTCACCCGTGCTGAGATGTCTGGAAAGAAGTACCAAAAAAAGAGATAAGCATATTTGAAATATGAGAATAAGCTTCTGTCAAAAAGGACATAAAACACATACATCGTAAAAAGTTACTGTCTCTCAAAATGGCAGTTATTTGGTTGATTTAGGGGACAGGCTGCGGGATAAATTGAATACTTGATCACCAAAAAAAGAGGATTTAATCAAGATGCAAAGTAAATGTTAAATTGATGGTCCACTGCAGTTTTTGAGGGATAAACTGTAACCTGGGCAGCCAGCTTCAATCATATTCTGAAGAAGCTGACATGAGGGACATGATGCTGCAAACATTTATCATAACAAACACCATAAAAGATCCGAATAGAAATGCATATATTTCACTGTACAAGCCCTGAAACAAGCCATGATAACTCACTTTATATTCCTGTATTAATAGGTGTGGACAGGAAAAGGGCAGAGCACAACCTGCAAATACTTTGTTTGGTTTTGGCCAAAATGGCAATTGTTAATCACAAAGGACTGAACTGGACACAGAAATGCATGCCATTTACAAAACCATTGCACAGAAATTTCAGTTTTCATTAACTACTAAATTGGCCTCATAATTTTAGAAGCATAAAGAAACTCATTTATATGCACATAATTTAGAAAAGTGCTAAGATGTGTATGTTGCCTGAAAGGAATCTCAGTTTGCCACCACGCTGCTGTTGTACACAGAACTATAATGGCTACAAGTACAGAAGTCAGTAGTACAGAAGTCAGCATGATTAGATTCTCTCTGCAACTCTGTTATAATTTAACCTAGATGTACATGCTGCTTTTCCTCTAGTCAGTGTGACTCAATGCAAAGTTTTGATTTAATTCTACAACCAATAGAATGAATATTACGAAGAACATGTCTAAAGGCGGTGATTCTCCGAGGTGTTAGTCCACTATTACCTCACCGGGATGAACCAAGGTTTACTGAACAATGAACTGATTAATGGGATAAGAGAGAAAAGGAGTTCTTATACTTACTCAAATATGTGCTTTATTGTGAAATACTAGATCATTTGACCTCTTTGGGCCTCAAACTGTTTTTTAAAGTAAACCAACTGAGAAGACAAGAGGGCTTTTGTCTGGTCACATCCAAGTCTAACAAGGGACCCCGAGTACACACTGCGTCATCTTTAACACTGCATTGTGAGCTTATATGTTTTGGTTAATGTCAAATCTTAATTTAGTGACTATAGCTGCTAAATATATGTAGACGAGTAACTAATATTTCCCACTGAAATGCAGTGAGGTAGAGTCAAGTAGCATAATATGGATATTCTCAAGAGAAGCACCTCAGAGTTTCCACCACTGAACAGTGAAGAATGAGCTGAGGCACAATGAAAACCACTATTGCAGCTACATCTACATTACTGCTGGATCATCATTCCACATCTATAGTCATACGATTTATGGTTGAAAAGTTAAGATAAACTATATGAGGTAAAATGAGGTTACTTTACACAATAAGGGGAAGCTCAGCGCTTTGAGGATTACCTGAGCCAATCTGCTGCTTTCTCTGCACTGAGGGAGTCTGCTGAGGTTTCAGGACCTTATAAAGCTGCCCTACAGATGCCTCAGTTTGCCGTTGCACCAGTCTGGCACTGCTGAGTAGATCCAGAATACACAGAAAGGACTTTGTCTCCCAGATTGCCTGTGAATCACTTTGCATCACCCAGGAGGAGATGGAGGAAACTGAACATCTGGTGGATGCGAGGTAATCCTCGCCCAAATATGCAACTTCACACGTCAATCTAAAAGATAATGATCTACTCAGTAGTGCTTCCTCGTTTCTCTTCTTGCTCGCCTGACTGGGCAGTAAGAAGAATGGATAAAGTAACATTTATATTGCATGCACAGATCAGAGTTGTTGAAATAAACCAAAACAGCTTCTGAACCTTAAGTGGACAGACAACAGGTCCGTACAGTCTAATATATTATTCAGTTATAATGCTGCCTGATGGTTTGGACATTAGCAGTGGGGATAAGAGCTTTAAAATAGTTCTAGACATCATAACGTATTCAGGTGATTTGGTAAAACTGTCAGAAGTTAAACAAGCAAGGATCAACAAGATGTCTGTTAAAATGAATCTGCATTTAAGCTCACAATAACTCTTTGAATTTGTATACCTTTCCATGCTATGCATCTCGAGTATGAATCTTCCCTGACTCAGTGTCGTGGTTTGCTTTCCCAAAACAAAACCTGTTGTGCCATCTAGTGACCACAAGACCAGTTATACGCGATAGCATAATTACTAGATGTGACCACTGGAGGGCAGCATTTGTTTCTAACGCAACACTACCAGCTGTGAGTAACAGCAGTCCTCTCTCCTTTTTCGTTTTTTGCAAAGTGTCATTTCTTAGGGCATCTTTTGAGTGAGAAGCAGCTGGAAACTGATGGGGAAAAAGGAAATGTGTAAAGCTCTTCTATTCATCAAAAACAGCTAATGAGGTGCCCTAGAGCAAGGCACTTAACAGCCAACTGGTCCAGTGGAGCTGCTCAGTGGCTAAAAGTGGCAGAATGTGGTGCAAGCTGCAGGTCCTGGCTGTGAATGTGCGTAACTGGTTTGTAACAATGCAGGACAACGGTGACAATGAGCAACCAAAAACAACAGACTGATGAATGCATTACTTAGACTACAGAACTAGATGTTTATTTTTTAAAACTGTATTTAGCCATTTCAGTAAACATATGCTGAGGCATTTTCATTACTTTGTGAAAATATTTTACAGATTTAAAAAGTCAGTGTTATAACTTCATTAAAAAAACAAAACAAGACAAACAATCCAAAGACTCACTTCTTTATTACCACATATTTAAACATGACACCAACAGTATTAACAAAAACCTTCCAGAAGTCTGATAACATAGTCATTTCATAGGAAAAGTAGGTTTCACTTCACACCATGAACATTTTAACATGAGAACATTACATTTTCAAGTAGACAGCGAGGGTCTACTTATTGTTTTTGGTCTCTTTTAACCGCCTGACACTTCACTTTCAATATCTATAAACCAGTGACTGTCAGAGATTACCTTTACATGTTGAATCCTTAAGTTTGAGTCAACATCTTTGAATGTGCAGTCAATGGACATGTATTTCTACATCTCATGTCGCCTCACATTGCTCCCATTGCACTCGTACCCAATTATACGGTTGCGTAACATACCACACAGATAACAGGGACATACAGTAGCTGGTAGAATGGTTGATAAGTTCATCCACAGTGCAGGCATACATATTAGAACATCAGTTCTTTCAGCAGAATAGGTCAGAGGAAGATGAGGCCATTTCTAAAGTGACTTTTTGCCTTATTAATCTTATTCACTTTCTGATTTACACCACTGAACTACAATACTACTTAAAGCAACAGTGTGTTGCATTTATAGGAATCTATTCGCAGAAATAGATTATAATACTAATAAGAATGTTTTCTTAAAAGTGTGTAATAATCAACCGAAAATTGAAGAGAATCTCTGTGTTTTTGCTACCTTAAAATTAGCTGGTTTTTTAAAATCTAAATAGGGGGTTGGGTCGTCTTCACAGTGTACGCCATGTTTGTACAGGAGCCCAGAAGGGACAAACCAAACACTGGCGCTGATAGGGCCAGTCACATTTTCACATTGGCCACCGTAGTTTTCCTATTCTCTTAGCACACGGGAGAACTTTCCATTGGTCGCAATCTGCAACCTCACCGCTAGATGTCCCCAAATCCTTCACACCCCACCTTTGAAAGTCACGTCACTGTCCATACTTATCAGTGTGCATGATTAGAGCGAGTGGTGGGATGAAGTTATGCAAACACATCATAAGGTAACCACAACATAAAAGTTGTGAGATAACAGGAGTCATTGAGAGTTTTATGCTGCCTCCATTATTCAGGTGGAGACGTGTCTGCAAGAAGTAACAGTGCAGTGTCAGCAGACTGCCATCAGATCAGTGCCATTACGGCATCATAAGAAACTATTCAACCTGCAATACAATTTCAATTGTAACTGTTGCTTTTCCCAGAAGTGAATTCAACCTAGCTCCAGTTTGTAACACACCCAAGCATGATTAAGGACAGGTGAGCAGGCTGTGCAGACTGAGGTGCTGGTCCGCTCTCGCACGAACAGTCTTTAAGTCAGTTTTGCATCTCAGAGCTTTTGGTCAAGTCAGTGGAGTATTCTGTGGAGGTATCTCTCTGGGTTGTTCTCTCCTCCTCTCCTCAGTCCTGAGGTGGTTCTGACTGGTCTCTCCGAAGTCCCTGCAGGGCCCTGGCTCTCAGTTAGTACCCCTGTGGCCGCTGTACCTCTTCCTGTTGTCCCTATGGAGGTGTGTCGGCGTGTCTCTGGACTGCTGTGTGCTCCTCCGGCCTCAGAAACACTCTCCTCCCCGGGATCCTTCCCCTGGCTGATTGGCGAGCTCTCTCCGATCCTGAACATAAATGTTGTTGAAAACAATATGGATGCCACATAATATTAAAAAAGTCACGATGATGAATGATCTGAATGTATATGAAATCAAAATCACACCAGCAGTTTTGCTACCTGAGGTGATTGAAGGCTCGTAGCCAGTGTGAGCCCAACACCTCTCTCCCGTTGGCCCTTAGTCCTCTCCGGTGACTCCGGGCCCTCAGTCCTTTCAAAGCCTGAGCCAGTTCAGCCTCATCTCCATGGCCCCAAACCAGCTGGGCCCTCTGCTCCGCATCTTGATCCCCCGCTGACCTGAATAGTCTCTGTAGCTGCCACAGATTCACGTCGCTGAAAATGTTCGCAGAGCCAGCCTTCCTACTCCTCCTCTCAGCCAGCCGCCACAGCGAGGAGGGGCCCGCCACCATGGAGGAAGGAGGGGAGGCGGGTTTGGTATCCATCCGGAGCAACACGGGAAAAGGTGGCATACACTGGCTCTACTCTGCGGAGAAGTTGGTAAGAGTTTCCACTCATTGGGATGTGTTGGCAAAGAGAAAGACGCTTCAATGTAAACAACAGAACTTAACAGTACATGAGTGCAGACTGCGTCACAACACCGCTGAGCTGCAAGTCTTCTGCTCTGACTTTTTAATCCTACTTTAAGAAGAGAGCTGTGCTTTAAAGCCCATTAAACTGCAGATGGCAACTTTATCTTTCTTTACTCGCATATGGTTTTAGGTATTAGCTGAGGGACCAAGATCGTGGCTGCATGTAAGTCAGTGGCCTCGCCACTAAAACAACTTTCTTTCAGCTTGACAAAATAATCTCAAGTAAAAGGTCCACTAGCTTTCTCCAGAGCTTTCAACAGCAGATTATGGAGTTAACGCAGATTTACTCCTCTGAAGGATACAAGGAGTTGAGATCATTCTGTCAAACTTACTATTTACTAAAGTCAGAAATTAAGATTCACATTCTTTTTTATTTAGCTTTATTCTGCAGGTTTCACACCTCTTACTTTACTTATCATTTACCATCAGTCCTGTATATTTCACATTTCAGTAGAGCGAACAACAATATACCACATCACAAAACAACTTATGAGCAAAAATGATCATTTTCCTGAGCCACCTGATGGGTATTGTTTGATTTTACCTTGCTATCGTCATACAGTATATGGAAGGATATGTTGGTTAAAATGTAGCCTATGATGGCACAGGGTGCCTTAAACATCTGTGACTTGTATTACTATCTTTGTCTAACTGGAAAGAGGACCACAATGGAAATAAGTGATCTTCTAACTTTCTTGTGTTATCCTCAATTTCCAATAAATATGTATTTGTCAGTGTATAATCTGTTTGTTTGTTTGTATATATATATATATATATATATATATCTCAAATACATAAAGTAACTCCAACACTAAATCTACTAAACAGTCAGGGAGTTAGTTGAGGACATAAATCATCATAATTGTGGGATGCTGCAGCTCTAAAAACACAAAAAGTTACACATTCATAGACCTATGTTTTTTTAAGAAGCCTGGTTTAACGTTAACCACGCGCTACTTGTCTAATGTTTGCATAACAAAAACACAATGGTGCACAGATACCGGATCCCTTGCATAACTAGGAATAAGGTACGAAGAGTCTCTGTCAAAAGAAAGTATGAAATGGCCTTTGAATGAGACCTATTCGTGGCCCTGGACGCTGAACTGTACCGTCTGTGCTGGGTTGTATTGTGCTGTGGGTAAAAGGCAGTAAACAAGAATCCCGTGAGAGTCATGAGGAAAATAAAAAGGACTTCTGCTTACCCAAAGATGAACTGATGTGTTCAGTGCGCTTTGCTCCTTACAGCATCTCACTCTGCTCCGCTGCTTCTCTTTCATGAAATCTTCCACAACACAGAAACGTAGCGCAGGTCAGCCAATTTCTGTCCTTGAGCCGACGGTTCAATTACAAATCAATGTCGCCAGACGACCAATGAGGGTCGAGAGATCCTCTGATCCCTCCTGTCTAGGTCAGGAAACAGCTTTTTTTTTTCGACCAATCACAGGTTTGGGCGAGGAAGGGGGGAGGTGGTGTTGGGCTCCGCCTCCTGGCCACGTAGGGTGTGTTTGCTGAAATCCATTGACGTCAATGAGCCGCTGGCTGGCACAAGAAGCGTCTGTCAATTATGTGAGAGGGAAGTAACATGTGAGCATCCTGCGCAGAGTCAAACAGGATGACGAATGGGCTCCTAAAAAAAACACTGCTTCTTTGTTATGTTGTTTGTCCAGTGGACAAAGAAAAATATTGTATTATATCAGATTATATTATACTCACAGTATACATATGAATCTATTTGTTATTATTATTATTATTATTATTATTATTATTATCTTTTCGTGTCTTTAACGGAAGTAAGGAATGTACATGCATTGTTTCAATTTACGACACAACAATACTGTCTACATGACGCATGGAAGCCTGACAATGATTAGCTACGCTTCTGTTCTGCTGTCTCATCACCACATGTTGGCATATTGCATAGTTCACTAACATAAAGCCTCCCTTCACTCCGAGGAGAGACATCACACTCCCCAGGGGATACTCCACCTCGGGAGAAACACGCGAGCAGATGAGCGGACATGGATGAACCCGGCAGTCCAGAGGAGGAGCAGGCTTTGAATTACAGGCCACCCCCTCTCCATCACCC